GGAAGACCCTAGGCTCCTAACGGCTATCTGCTCACATGGATGAGCTTGCTCACTCTTTTCCTCTCTCTCTCTCTCTCTCTCCCCCCACCTGTCTCATGTGCAAACAGCAACATGAATCCTCAATCATTCGCTCCAAAGCCATCACTGAAAAATGGATCGCGACACCTCGCCCATTACGGACATGCCGGCGAGCTTTAAAGATGCACGCAAAAATGAGGCAGCCACACATAAAATTAGACGTGAAGGAGCGGTTTACTCCGCCCAGGGTTTTAACGTGCAGGAGCGGTCGATACATGGGGCGTAGCGACGCGGCAATGGGAAGGGGAAAAAAAAAAAAAAACGCCCAGTGACCTTTCTTTTTTAAACCCAACATATGTTTGACAGAAGGAATGTTTTAATAAGCCAGTTTGAAAGTGGAGAATGCGAGAGACTGGTTATGGCTGCTGATTAATGAATGGACAGCAGGAATAAAAAAGATTTAGTCCCTCAAAAACATCCAGCATGTCATCAATGTTCGGAATGCATCTGTCACACAGCTGGCCCCTAAATATGTGCTGCTCCACAAATAAACTACCACAGAACAGAATGCTGTTCTACAAACAGGCCCCAATCCAGACACAGGCAAACTGGGTGGCTGCGTTCGGCCCAATCAGCACAAGGGGCCCAGGCAATGTCATGAAAAAATATATATATTATATATTCATAAGTAAAAATAAGAACAATTATGAAAAATTTACAAAATAATAAAAATAAAAGCTTGTACATCAAATTAAAATGTTTAAGTACAGGCAGAAACATAGTCAGCTCTGGACACAGGCAAAACAGGCAGTTGCTTTGGGCCCCCAAATTACGGAGGTAGTGAAATGACCATCAGTTTTCTTGGTGGGGGGGGGGGGGTCCCCAAGTGAAAAAGGTGTATTGGAAATCAGCTGGTGCCTATTTTCAGTCATAATTCCATTATGAATAGGGTAACGAGAATTTTTTTTTTCCCCTTAGCTAAGAGACCGATGTACGTTGCTCCCAGCCGTGTAGCTATATTTATCCACTGATTATGGAATTAAAAAACTATTTCTATACATGCATATTTTAAATTGCATATCACTTCCGATGGAAGCAGGCTTTGCCTTAACCTTTGGGATTAAGTACCAGAAAAGCTTCTGAGGTCAAACAGGGGGTGAAGTAATCAGACTAATCGCATCACGTTACCGTGCAGACATGCAAGCTGCAAGCATTTTTTTTCATTTTCTAAAACTCAGCAGTGACTGTATTAGGCTCAAATTGAATTTAATGTATAATCCACCCCAATGGGTGAGATCTGATGAGATTTCATTGGTTTGTTATGCCGGGAATCAGCTGTAAGTCTTCCACTAAGAAACTGAAGTCAGTTATACATCTCTATATCATCTCTAGATGATGAAAGCTCATTAATTTGCTCTTTGACATCAAACTAGATTCAGACTAGTGGCCAACAGTCAAACAGTGTGTGTTAATTTGCTATCCATTGTCTATCCACTTATCATGGTCAGAACTGCAAGGCCTCTGAAATCTATCCAAAAGGTTCACAGTGTAGGCTAAGATGCCATCATAGAGTACATACATAGCCACACTACAGGCAATCTAGAGACAATAATCATCTTAGCTTCTTGCCTCTGGAGTGCAGGAGGAGAGCTGTACAACCAGCGAAGAACATGCAAGCATTCACATATGGTGGGACTTGAACCAACAACACTGGCGCACAGTGCAGTAATACTACCCAACAAGCCATCACAACATCCATGAGTCCCTTTTCTTTCCTGAATCAGAAAACCACACTAAGGCCTTGTCCATACGTACAGAGGTGTTTTTAAAAAGGGTGTTTTTCCTCCTGAGTTACTAAAAGAAAAAGAAAAAAAAACTCTGAAAACACTAAAACACGCTGTCAAGAGCATGCCAAGCCAACAGGTGGCGATATAACTAACCGTAAAGCCGTGTTGGCCAATCAGAAGCCTTATTGCCAATTCTGTTAGGCTAAAAACAGCTAATGTAAACAGCGAATGCCACATATTCTGACATCAAACAAAGTGGACAACGGCGCAGAACGCACGGAAAAAGGTACATTTTTAAAAATGCCTGTGTACGTGTGGACAAGGCCTGAATCACACTGGGTAATGAAATAAATACTGTATATCATACAGTTACAAACATGCTCACCTGGAACACTAACAATGTTTGACCATCAACTGTAATTTTACATTATCTGTATTTGGGGTCTGATCAATGGCGGCCTTTATTAAAAACACAAAGTAAAATGGAAAAATTTGGTCTGATCCTTGTAGGATTAATGTGTACATTTTGTATAACAACGTGAATATTTTGGTTGCTCTGCGCTCAAGGTTTAAGTAACCGGGTGCGGGGCGTGTCCATTCCAGGCCTAAAACCATTTTAATGATGTTATAACTCGATTAACTGGGTAACGTTTTGGAGGTACAGAAGGAAAACACTAATAAATGATATTATGAAATATATTTCTGGTCTTCGTCTGACTAACGAAATCTGGGTGACGTGGTGTTTGCAAATTCAGATACTGGTGACATGCAAGGTGCCGTCGCATTTTCCGAGTCCGTTTTAACTCCCTGGAAAAAATGTATCCAGTTCATCTCATCAAGGTGTCACCTGTTGCATTTTTGTCTTCTGCTCAAGTACCCGATTTGTATATATGCACTGCAAGTAAAAACCAACACACTTTGATCTGAACGCAGTTCCAAAGGGATTAGCTCAGTGTTCCACGCCTCTTCAGAGAGGAGTCGGCTCTGCTGACCTTTGACCAGTGGCGACTGTTCACTCCTGTTGCTTTTTATTCAGGAGGCCGGAAGCTTAAGTCGGAGGCCTTTGAAACGTGTTTTTTTCCAGAAAAAGCATTTAGCCAGAATGGCACTCAGCCTACACCTGATAAGCAGTCCACCTACCCTAGCCGGGGCCAAACAATGCAAATACCACGGTATGAAACGTGGTGAAAGACACGGCTCAGAATTACCACCATTTTCCGACTGAGAATAAATGACCAAAATTACACCTCCTGCAACATTTATCCCCAGCAGTACATCAAATACATAGGCCATTACCGTGCTATTCACATTTAATCCAATTCACACATTGTTTTTATAGAAAATAAAAAGCTATCCGGTGTTGAGGCTTTATCCGCATGCCTGAATGGACCGGACAGGAAAGCATGTTGACTGAGTTTCAAAGGTCTAATTAAAGTAAGGCTTTTGGAAAAGTGGCAGAACTGTCAATACATTGTATCAGCAGGCCATCTAAAAGATTACAGTATCAGGTCAGGACACTGTTTAGAAGGGGGGAAAAAAAAAAGTCTGTTTACTTCCCATGTGTCCCAGCTTAAGTGCACAATGAGAATGCACAAAAAACACGCAAGGGTCTTGAAGGAATGTTTAAAGCATTGATATGAAAGATTTGTTCCTGTGAAGGTTATTCTGAAGGGATCCTATTCACACTTTCAATCATGCTGGTAACTATACTACAGTTATAAATTAAGTAAAAGTAATGGCATTCTTCAGTATAGCCGTTAATGGTATCCCTTTAAAAGCACAATGCACATCAGAATACTCAAAAGCGACGATGTCGTTGTTCATGGTCAGCGTGTGGTCGACAGTTATTGACACTGACTGTATTGAGCGTGCTCCATTTCCAGTCCTGCACAATTATTCTTAATGTAATTGGGACCAGTTTGATTCCTAATTGCTGGTGCAATACAATTTACACATCTGTCATGCTGTAATTGCAAAACTTTTACATATACCAATACAAAAATGTATAAAGATGTTTCTATTTATATTTCCGTGTGTGTGTGTGTGTGTATAAACATATTTCCCCAGGACCTCAAGAATATACAGTGTTTAACTTAAATTAACCCTTGATATACCAAGGGTAGCTAAAATGTATTGTTCACTTTGGTGGGCCAAAGCTTGTTATCTAATAAAGCCCATATAAAAATGAAAGACAAACATACCTTTCTGGCTGTAGCATTTAATTACAGTGAATGAAAATATTTTCTATAAGTCATTCCCTTTTAATTCCCAATGGAGAAAGGAAGCAGAAAAGTTCTCATTATATTATAATTTCTGCAAATTATTTTTTATTCAAAATTTAATTTCGGTCAGGATTTGCAGCTGACAAGCTCATCAGACCTCATTCTTATTCTAATACGTCTGATTTGCAATAAATAGCTAGGGTACATGTATTACAAGTTAGATTATTCTAACAGATTAGATGAATGGGGAAAAGTTCACGTTTTGTTATCGGCCGCACATTGGGCGCGATCTCTCGGTTCTCCGCACATCGCATGTTAGCTATTTCAATGAAAGACAACAATGTTTGAATCCAAGGACAGAGGAGGCCTTTTAGAGACAGCTGCTTCAATACAAAGAGCTGTTTTTCCCCCGGCTTTCGGGCATTGAGATGTCACAAGAGCGGAACAGTTTTGACAGATAAGTTGACATTTTCAAGTGAGGCGCCCATTGAATTCAAGCCATGCAATGATTAGAGTCAAAGGTGTTAAAAGTGAAACGGAACAAAGAAAATTTCAGAACTAAATCCTGTGGCAGCAAAATATTTCACATACCTTCCAGCCATTTCTAGTAAATGATTATCTTAAGAGGTCTTTCATTACCGGTAATCGTCGTCATTTACATAATATTATTCAAAACTGTGTTTTCATTGAAACGTCTTTAAATATTAACTTCTATACATCCACACATGCTTATATAATAATAATAATAATAATAATAATAATAATCATTATTATTATTATTATTATTATTATTATTTTTAAAACCTTACAGTATCAAGATATATCTATGAATATTGCTAAATTAAAACAAAATACAAAATTACTAATATACCGCCATTATGCAGGCTATCCACTTGAATCTTATTAATTATGCATGCTAAATCTCAATGCCCTGTTTGGAAACAAATTTGGGTAAACAGAATATACTCAGTACCTGAAGAGCGGTTGTCTTGAGGCGTTACGCTCTGGTCAGTTGCGCCACTGCCCTCGTCTGGTTAATGGCTGCTAGAAACAGCCCAAGTTTCACAACAGCGTGAGTCATAACTGACAGTATTTCCCTTTACCACGTTCTGCATGCCGTTAACCTGACCCAAAACGATTTCCGATTAATTAGATGATTTTAAAAAGCGTATAAAAAAAGCATATTTACAGCAGGGTAATTATTTCATTTAGAACGTCTGATAATACTGATAAAATTAGTGATCAATAATGCACTTTGATTATAAACGATAAATAAATATTTCAGACTAACTAAGAAGCAGCGACAGATTTATTTGCGTAACGGGATGGTTACCTACCTCCTTCCTGTCGCTGCATACTAGGTGTCATGGCATAAGGAGCCAAGTTAAACCCTGGTACACTTTACACCGCCTAACTGGAGCTGTTTTCACTCATGCTGGTGGACGCCAAACAAGTCGCTCACTGCTTATATCAAATGTATGTTAGGAGTCGCAGCTGTGTTTCATTTGATTAATCAAGGAACGTTGCTGATGTAAAAAAAAATTGGTGATACAGACCTTACCGTAGTAGACAAAAAGGAATGACCGACAGAAATTTGCAGTGTGTGCATACCTGTGGAAACGAACCTTTTTACATACTGTATATCACACGCCATTCTAGATGCTATGTAGCTGATTCCCTTTGAAATGCTTCCATGGCTCAGGAATCTGTACGTGTACTTCTACTAGAAACGAGACACCCTCTGTAATTCCATGAATGGCGTTCCGGTAAAAATGCTCATCGGGTGAACTGTCTGCAGAAACAGGTCAATAACAGTTCAGACCCTTTAGTGTAATGATGGACCTCTGCTATTGATGGTTTCCGTGCCTTTGTTCAAACCAGCCCATCATGCAGCCTGCATATGCAACAAGTCATATTTAATTGTGTCAATTAACGCGTCTTTGGATGTCGATTCAGACATTTCTCAAAACATGCATCCGCTCGATGTTTCCTTAAACTCCTGAGAGGGGAAAATTTAAATAACGCGATTGTGCAACAGTCTGGAAACAATGTCCATCGCACATCTGAGAGGGATTTCATTGTTCGTGCACAATTCCCTGCATTTATGTGTTATTACAGAACTGTCGCGGTAAATGTGAAGAAAATGAGATGTTATAAATGTTATACGCGATGAATATTTATGAATTAGTATACTGCAGCATAGGCATGCAGCTGCGCTACAATATAATGCAGAATCAGGCTTTTATTTATGCTATACAGTGCAAATTTAAGAAACTTTGTCATTTAAAGTCAGGGAGAGAACATAAATGTTTTACAATCTCTCATAAAATTCTGACCAGTGAAGTAAAGAAGTCGCAAATTAAAAAGCTGATATTTATCCATAAAAATAAATATATAAATAAAGAGATAGATAGATGTCCCAGCATTAAAACATATTTCTAAAATTTGTGGAAAAATCCGTTCTATACACCTGCACTTGTAATTTTATTACCATACTGTTTGGGTTATGATATTTAATCTGCATGATAGCGGAGAGGAAACACGTGTGCATTCGCAGTTCGAGTGCAGTTTATCACAGCTGACGGAGAATATTAACATTCAAAGAGGTTAAATAAATCTCCCGTTGGACTAATGTGGAAGAAAACACAAGGCAGCCAAGAGCCGCAGTTAATGTGACCTTCTGATGGGAAGCCTGTACCGTTCCATTATCGCACAGGTTATCAGATAATGCTGACTGCACGCTGACTAATCCCCAAGGACGCTACCATGAGTCTGAATTCCTCTCCCACAAGACGACCTCCACGCACAAATAGGCAGGACTGAACATGTCCTGCCACCCAGGTCCCTCAGCAAAATTCATATTTACTATGGCAGTCAAGCCAGAAATTCGGGAGTTAATAGCAAATCAAACCGACATTCTGTGTATAACAGAAAGTGAAACTTAAATACATTTTAGAGGATTATGATATATTTTGAATGTATTTTGAATTAAAATGGTATTTTTTATAATAACACTGTTTTCTATCATTAATACCCCTGCTGTGTGCCGAATTAAGCTTTGTGGTACTTATTAAAAGGGAGCTTGCAGGAGAATTATACTTTCAACAGGGGTTCCCGAGTAAATTAATGTTTAGTGCCGACAAAGTAACTTTTGAGAGGTAAACTTGTGTGGAGGGTAAGGAGGTGTGCCTGTTTAGGAAGGGCGGATGACTCATGTGGCACCAAACGCAGAGCTCACCACAGAGATCACTAAACGCAGAGCTCACCACAGAGCTGCAGCCCTGCAGCCGCAAGCCGTCTTCGACGGTGCCGGTTTAAAGAGTGTTCCGGCAAATGTGAAGCAATCACAAGGCATATGATTAAAGGCTGTTTTCTTTGCCTTTCTAATAGCATCCCCTGTCATCTCCACAAAAGGTCCTTAGAAATCAGACGGCAACATTTTGTATTTTTTTTTTTAAATGATGAAACTTACAGATCGACAGGAATGCAATTCAAGCCATTTTCTTGCCAGAGAGTAACACCAGCCAACCCGCCTAAATAAGCAAGGGCCGGGCAGGGAATCTGGTGACAGTGGGCATGAACAGAGATTATCTCTGAGGAATATGGCGACGAGAGTGCTCTCTGCTGACAGGGATAGCGTCCGTAGTGTGTCAAGCTTGGAGGAGGGTTAGTGGCTGGTGTTGATTAGAAAACCACGGAAGAGCAGTAAAAGTGATCAGGGTGTGTTGGGAGAGAAGTTGTTGACAATTAGGTCTCTTAACACATCCAGAGGCTGACAGCCAGCTGGAGAGAGGGAGAGAGAGAAAGAGAGAGAGAGAGAGGGAGCGAGAGAGACAGAGGTAACAGCTGATGGGAATTTTGGGGCCCACTGCCATGTGTCTCACTCCTGCAATGAGAAATATTCGTCAGAGTTAGGCGGACAGACAGGAGAAAGCAGACGTCCAGAAAGATACTGACATATTTCATAAATACAAGATATCATGTAGTAGCAGATCTGCACAGCTACTAAAGTATCATATAGTACATAGTCAACATTGCATTTATATTCTACGATACATACTGTATGTAGCTATTTTGGCAAATGTGCAAACCAGGCTTGAACCATGCGTGCAAATGTTTATATATAAATAACCCTCGATCAGCCTATAAATCTTACTCATATGACCATTATGAGAACGAGGTCTCATGAGTGACTCACATCTACTTAGCAGTGTGACTCTCGAAAGACAAAAGGTGTGGTTGCGGAATGTATAAAATTCCGCAACCACTAGCGCAAAAAAATGAGTAATCGGCAGCTGGTTTGGGGTCGCGAGCAAAGGATGAGATGTGAACGTCACGGCCGAGGCACATCGAGGATCACGGCCGTCAGTGCATCAGTATTTTTACATATAAGAAATAATATAGGGACTAGAAAAACAGTGAATGTGTTTTCATTTACAAGTGAAGTCACGTGAAATACGTACAACTAGCAGTGGTTCCTTGAGGAGTGATAATGAATATCTCTGAGAGACACGCCACCCTGACCCTAACCTCATGCCGCCGTTATAAGCTTAGCTAAAACTATGGGATAATTCAGTTCATTATTACACAAGTTATACACAGATCCAGCACATCACAGGCTGTACATACAGGCCAGGTTGGGGAGCATAAGCTGATGCGGCGTGTTTCCGCACCCACCGCACGGCGAAACTCCTCGGGATCCCGGCTGGCGACCCCCCCCCAGGGCAGACACACGGTCCAGTCCCACCCTTCGGAAATGGGCGTCCATCTGCCGCATCCTGGTGTTACGTGGGCGTCCCCACGGCCTGGTCCGGCCGCTTGGGTCCTCACCGACGAGGATCCTGTGAGCCGGGTTGCCCTCAGGGGAACGTGCCACATGGCCGTAGTGCTGTATCTGTACATACGCTCTCAGGTCAAAATTTGTACCTTTGCTTGTCACTGGGGCTGTACCCTCAAGGATCTGCCAATTATACCCTTAGCTGTAGGTCATTGTACCTTTTAAGGTACTGAAATGGACTCTGTTGAACATTTCTGTACCGTTGATGGTACACTAATGCTGTTTGTACCTTGAGTGTGTACCTAGTACTAATGTGACCAGAGTTTATTTAGATATCCCCCCAGTCTCCATGGCTTTGTGAAACATCAGCATTTTAGATCATGACTGGATGCATCTGGATCCTTAATTGCTCTTCTTCAAACTCGGCACTTGGGACTTATTGTGGCCCATTGATCTTAAAGTGACCCGTATCATCTGGCCTGTAGTTTGATGACAAATGGCACACGGAAGGTGGACGTCTTCGCCGACAACGACTGGTGTATTTTGTAAATGTTTTGCTGGCTTTTTATTCAATAGCTAATGTGGACATAAACAGTTTATCATATACTTGCTTATACTGAGACATGCAGTTTCTGCCTGATTTCACGAAGAAAGATGAAGTATTTGTGATATATTTTTGTATTTGTATCTGTTCCCAAAGTTGGATGCACAGTATGTGCTTATGGTCACTACGCCGCTTGTGGTGTACAGATCCTGCTCACAACATAAAGCAACAATAAACATGGTTGAAGTCCATATCATTCTGTTGACCAACTGACCGACCAACCATCCATCCATCCATCCTCTACTCCCTTATCCTGCTCAGGGTGGTAGGGGGACCTGGAACCTGCCCCAGGCGGGACAGGACACAAGGCTGGGGTACACCCAGGATGGGATGCCGGTCTCAAAAAAAAATGTATTTCCAAGTTTGCTTTCATTTTGGAAATAACAAGGTCCGTATTTAAGCTAGATTCCCAAGAGGCTGACACAAAGAATCAAATTTGAAATAATTTCTCCTGAATGGCTTTTATCTGCTACGCTTGTATATGCCAGGCTGGCAATCTTGCGGGGATTTGCAGCTGCTTTTGTAGGTTTATGTGCTTCCATTGTTGCTGTTTTATCATCAATGTCACTTTTATCTGAGCTAATGTTCAGCCCACTCTTACTGTTCTTTGATAAGGATGGCTGTTATTTAATTCATGGAGCTATTAACCCAATGCGTAAATGCCGTCGTCGTAATATTACTCTCCCGCTCAGTCCCATATTCTGCATTGCTGCACCTTTTGAGACATTGTTGCCTCTTCAGCGCATTGAGTGTGTGATGTTTTTGTTAGTATCTGCGTCCTGCAACAGCCGTTTTGTGTGAGTCTGGTGAGCTGTTGCCTGAGGATCCTTTGGAAGGTTTAGTATTTCGTGTTCTGTTCAGTCGGTGCTTTCATACTGTGTTTTAGTGTGAAAAGACGATGGTTTTGTTTGCTTCAGAAGTTCAGCTGAAGTGGCAGTTTATTCGATTTAGTGTTTAGCAGAGACCTTCAGGGTTACACTATAAGGACAAAAGTATTGGGACTCCTGACCATTACACCTACAGGAAGTTTTGACATCCCATTCTAAATCCACTCTTCTGGGAAGGCTTTCCGCAAGAATTTGGAGCA